AACGCTCAGTTCTAGAAGTAATTAAAGAATCTAGGATTTGGCTTAAAAGTTACTAATATCAAGCTTTGGATTAATCTATATATCAGTTTCTGTGATATCCATAAATAAAGTCGACTATCGGTAAAGATGAATAGCAAGGGAAAATTAAAATTTTTTAAGGTTACTAAATATGTTTACCTCACTGATGAAATAAGAAAATGTGGTTTTTTAGGCGTCCTATGAACAGTATACTTTCAATAAATATGGTCATTTTTCTAACTTGTCTACACATCACTACTTTTATTAGCTTAATTATGTTATCTCACATTTCTATTTCAAACAGCCTGTTTAATAACTACTATGAAGTTCTATAACAGGGAAGTTTAAACAGTATATCTCATCTTTTTCATTATTGCCCTTATTAATATACATTGTTTTTCACTTACGCTTTTACTCTACTGGCCACTAATATAAATCAAATGAATTTCTAATCAGTAACTGTTTGTAAACATTTCTTTTTTTTTTCTTTTTTTTATAAACATTGAAATTATATTGTTCATAGTTCGCACCATCAATTGAACTTACTTAGTTAAACAATCATAGTTTAAACTAAGTTATAGATGTTCATCATGTGTAAACAATGAAAATTTAATCACTAACATAAATCTCCTATATTGTATTAAAATTTTAGAAATTAAATTTAATTGTAAAATATTATAGAAATTAGATTATTTAGAAGTTAATCCGTAAATATGATGTAATCTATACAGAATTAATGTAACATTATAATAACGATGGTAATTCATGTTTAGATGATTAATTAGAAGTAACGTAATCTAATCAAAATTGAAAGTAAAACAATAAACTTTTCCCATAGATTGATTGTAGCTAGTTGTAAAATCAATGGGATGTATATTTTTTGTTGGGGTGATCCAGAAATTTTCTCGCAAAAGACAAACAAGGATAAAAAAAAAAACTAAGATGTATTTCATCCAATCAGCGTTCACTTGAAGTTTTAGTCAGTAACATTTAAGGAAGTGAAACGTCACATGTAGAGGTTCTGATTGGCTGGTTGCTATACTGCTACTATGTTTGGTAGCATTCTAGAATCTTCGAGCAACCCAAGGACATTTAAAATATTATAAGAACCCTATATTTTCTGTATTAAAATAAACGTTTGGAGTAAAGCACCTCTTGCATAATTTGCGCCTTCTCGTGTTCAGGTCGCTGTATAGTTCTAGCATGGGAGTTACAAGAATAGCTTAGGAACCGAGTATAGCGTTCAAATTCCAAGATAGGACCATTCGGAATTTAGCTCGACAGATAGCTTGCATCTTTTTTCATAACTCAGTAGTGGATAACATGTATGAAAATATGAGAAACCATAGGAATAAGAACTATAATTTCTGGATCTATAAGGATAACTTTAATGGTTCCTGATATTTGAAATCAAACAAATCATTATAAAAATATTCGTTCATGTGGATCTTCAAAGTATTCGTCAACTTTGTTCTTGGTTATTACATATTAATCGGATTCTTAATTGCTAAAAATAAGCTTTGTATGTATTGATCTCTCAAAATCATCAGTAGATTATAGTTTTACAGAATCGGTTGAAATAAACTTATTAACTGTATGTATGTTTGCTGTTATTTGTCACTTGTCATCAATGTGTGTCTGTGATGTTGAGGGAACCGATGCTCATTGGAGGATACGAATTCGCATCACCTAACCTGAATTGCTAGAGTGTTATGACTAAGCTGTTGGGATCGCTTCTAACGTTTTGTATGATTGAGATATTTACAATTGAATGATCAGTAAATAGTAAAAAATCTGTTATTAATCAATAGAATTCGATCAGCGCTAAAAAAAACTAGACAAACATAACATTGGTCACCAGATGTGTCCGCAAATTGTACTTCTGAAAACATCGCTAATCCGTTTTTTTTCACTTCAGGCATTTTTACGTAAATTAATTCTTAAAAGAACAATGAAATCTTAACAGATTATTTTTCAACAAACTTTGAAAACAATTTCTCACATCTCACGATTGAAACGACAAACGTTTATATATATATATATATATATATATATATATAATATCCTTATATGCTGTCTTGCTTTTATATGTTACTATTATTGAAGTAACTACTATGAATTTGGTGATTATCTTGCTGTGCTAATGACGTGTGGCAACTTGGACCGATGCATATATGTGCCTGGTCCTACATTGTAGCTGACTAACTGAGAATAGATGAACAGTTTTCAGCGATAAAGTCTAAAATCCATGCTTCATCCTACTTGGTATTCATTAACTGAATATGTACCTGCTACATACCAGTGTTAACATTCACATTATTATCCCTATCCATTATCTTTTATACTTCATAGTGTTTACTTCCTTTTTTTAATCCTACCATTAAAACGTACACACAAGAAGTTCATTGATTTATATGACTTAAACTTACAATTATATTTCCGGTCAAATTATTAGCTTTTGAGAAAGTAGACAGACATAACCTCCTCATACATCATCGCACATAATAGACTATTTTATGTACTACTATAAGTCTATTTCCTATTCGATATTGTATCCAATAAAATTTATTATTATTACTATTATTACCACTATTATTATTATTATTATTATTATTATTATTATTATTATTATTATTATCATTACGTGGTTCCTGATGAAGTTGCCTTATCTACATTGCCAAAGATTTTTTGTCAACATTAATATACTATTGATTTTGGTCAAAACATCTAAAATATTTTTTTTTACGATTCATTAAAACGTCATATTTCAACAATCCTTCATTGACTAGTAAAAATTATTTATATTTGTCATTTTATGTCTAGTAGTAGTAATAGTAGTAGTCTATATACATTTCATAAACATATTATTAAGTAGATATTGTATTAGATAGACTTATACTTCTATATATTTGATTTACACGTACATACTATCTTGGTTACTAAACATAACATCCAAAAACCTGTAATTGTTTAACTTTTTATTTCTGCCGTATATCATGTGAATAAATATGATATATGAATAATAATGATTGCTATCACAATGATTATTGTCTAAAAATGATCATATTAATAATGATAATTACAATGATGTAAGCTTATTTAATTAAATAATATAATATCATATGGTCAAATCAGTTAATTATAATTAAATGTATAGAAAATGGAATTATGAGACTAACAGGGGTTATCAGTAAGTTGTTATCAAGGTATTGGCATCCAAATGTCCTGTTATGACTCAGGGTGGGGAGAGGTAGCTCTTCCTCTCGAAATGCTCTCGCATGGTCACATGTATACAACCATTGACAAGGAAGTCTTATTCACTACCTTATCGTGGTTGTGTTGTTTTCGAAAGTGAGAGGACAATGAGTGAATGTCCGACGCTTTAACCGGTTTGTTGGATATGGATGATCCACCTAGCGGATTAGGAAAACCCCAATTCCAAACCAATGGTGCACATGCGCTCCAGGATCCTGAAGGAACAAATAGCGTATGAACCAATTATTGATCACCGGCTACCATGGGACTACATCTTCTAATGTTACTCCACAGCCTTATGGATTAGATCAAAGTTTCGGGGAATGATCCCTTGAGAAAATCACCTGCTTTGATTTGAACATCCGGACAGTGTTCCAATTCTCACACAAATCTAGTGACAAAGTGTGGCGTATATATATTTGGTGCTTCCTTGTACCAATGTTTGTGTTTAAATAAACAATTAACTTATAGTCAGGCAAAGATGTGCGTTCACTCAAGTTTCCGTAAGCACATTGAGATAAAATTAACAAAACGAGTTGTTAGAATGATCAATATATTATAGCGGCAATACTAAGAGTAAAACTAAGCATTGAAAATATAGTTCAAAAAACCGGGTGGAAAGGCATGATGGAATACTGGAACTCGAGATCGAGCAGAAGATAACGAATGAATACATGTGCACCATTGTGAACAATTCTGAGCCATTTCGTTTAACGTAATGGATAAAAAAAAGAATTATTATGAATGTAAGGTCTTTGTAGAGATTACTAAATTTCATATTCTACACCACTTACTGACCTTTGAAAACCTGAAATACTGGACTCCTCAGTGCCAGTAAGCATCAAAAGGATCAAAATCAAACCTTCATGCCTCTTGGCAAGCACTCAATATTTAGACCTCTGAGTCGACATCAAATAGTTTACATTTCCAATTTCTATCTATTCTCGGTATTGTCTAGCCATATTCCAATGTCGTTTGTGAATTGTCCGCTCATACTCAATATCGTTGAGCTCCATTATTCACGGCTTTTTACTAGAACTCTGGCAATTAACTCTCGAAATCAGTTATTATTAGACACATGATCATTTTTAGTATAGGAGCTTTATGTAAATTGTCGGATTTCATAACCGGCAACACAGATTGATCTTATTTCGACAACCGATGATGTTCTCACTAAGAATTTTCTCTACATGTGACTTTTCACTGTAATATTAACAACCGTAGTAATTAATTTATAATCTATTTCTGATACCAATGTCTTCATTCTACCCATCACAATGTGATAAGCTTTTGGTCTGTTATCGATTTCTTTTTACAGTCTTAGAATTTTTACGGTTATAATCCGAAGTATTCAGCTTGAATAATGTGCATATGAGTTACTATTAGGCTATTTCTCATCTTTAATCATTAAAAAACTTTTCAATGTATTTAAGTTAATAAGTAACCTTATTCATTAGAATAATTAAGATAACAACTTCCTTGTGTCTATTGTCTACTAACTTCATTCTAAACTGATTACATCATGTGGGTGATATTTTACACTGTTTAACGTCAAAACGATTATAATGTTGGGTCATGGTTTCCAACTATCTTTATACATATGTAATCGAATTCCCAACGTTAATCAATATTGATCTTTTTTTCTTTTTCCCTCTATTTATTAAATGACATTTCTTATTGTAATGTTCTCTCTATTTATCATCATCTATTCCTTTTCTAAATTATAGGTGCTGTGATAGTTCCAAGTTCATTATTAGGTGTTCTTTCTGGTGCTTTACTAATGCGTCATTTTCGACCTACATTACATCGTACCTTATCTGGTTTATGTATTATGATTTCATTGACTGTTATAACGAGTATCAGTCTAATGTCAATTGGTTGTCAATCTAGTCGAGTAGCAGGTATAACAGCTACATATAATGGGGAAAAGTAAGTCAAAATTTGTTTCTTTTTGTATCATGTGGCTCTTCAATATCACTAATTGGTTGTAGTTAGAACAGTATATCAGTGGATCCTGACCTAGTGGTCCAAAGGTTTAGTACTGATGTCATTTTATTACAAAAACCATTTCCCTGCGAGATGAACACCCTCAGGTTTGATCACCAGTAAGGTTACGGATGTTCACTTCTACCAAGAAGTTCTTTTCTAGAACGGAACATTTGTCTAGTGCTTTATAGTTCAATAGTTCTCCAACTGAAGTCGCCCAGCAATGAAATTTTAAAATTCAACAATCTCTGCCTAATACTAATGGAAATAGTAAGTTGTATATGTCCCATAAGGTGTATTTTTCAGCATTAGGGTTGTGGAGATTATGAGGTTTTCGATAGAGATCATGAGCCGATTGATGTTAGACCATCGTTGGAAACCTGGAAGCACTGGACGGCCGTCTTGTCCCAGTAAGGGACTCGTCAGCAATGTGCATCCATGATCCCGCTCTCTGGATTCGAACCCAGGACCTTCAGTCTCGTGTGCGAACGCCTAACCTACTGGACCACTTAGCCGGTATCCAATGGCGTTAGTGTCTAACCCCAATGCTGATAATTAACATGTGATCACTAGTGAGAAGCCGTGACCAGCGGAGCTAATCCAAGAGAGGTATCTACCTCAGTACAATGGAAGATGGTCGCGCAATTTCGTCGGTTAGTTGATTTTAGACACTAACAGCGGCTCAGTGGTTCAGTAGGTTAAGCGTTCGCGCACGAGACTGAAGGTCCTAGGTTCGAATCCCGCGAGCTGGATAGTGGATGCGCACTGCTGAGGAGTCCCATGCTGGAACGAAACGGCTGTCCAGTGCTTCCAGGTTTCCAACGGTTATCTAACATCAATCGGTTCATGATCTCAGTCATGGTGTATTTTTTTCTGTCTTCTTTTACTAATAGTTGATGACGGCCTAGACTCTCTTGCTAAACCAGTTTTGTTCTATGCTAAGCCCATTTTTCTACCTTTATATACATATCTATCTGTTTTATTTTCTGCTGTATGTTTATCATTGTTCGTATCTTTCTATCAGTCGTATTTGTTTTTCGCTATTAGTATTAAAAAAGCACTATTAACGTGCTATCTGAATCGAGCTAATTAGACAGTCATTGGAATTTGTGAATTACCATTTAAGTAAGATTAAGATAATCTTCGAGTCTTTCAGTGTCCAATGAGCACAATGTATCAAGCAATTTCGGGTAAGCTTTTCGTCCATCTAGTGGGTGGGTGCTTCATATTAGAGTGTAATCTTCATCAGAGTTTTTAGTTCAATCCCTAACCTACACTATGTTTATGCCTTTCGTTCAGCGTATTAGACTGTGCTAAACGTGTTTATGTCAAATAGTTTTAGCTAATTCCGGAAGCTCGAACTGATTTTTTGATGAAAATTACACTAAAATTCAGCATTCACTTACTAAGTAAACAGAAAAGTACCCGAAAATGTCTGATATATCATACTTATTGAACACTGAAAACATTGGCCATAACCATAATTGTTAAGAAAATTCTAATATTTTAACTCAATAACTGTTATATTACTTCAAAAATATTGTTAACATAACATCAATTGCCTCAGTGTTAACTATAAAGTTTATTATCAGTATAGGGTTGTGGAGAGTGTTGGGTTTTCATTGAGATAATGAATCGATCAATGTTAGACCACCATTGAAAACCTTGAAGCACTGGACGGCCGTTTTGTCCTAATATGGGATTTTTCAACAGTGCTCATCCACGATCCCGCACGCGGGATTCGAACCCAGGATCTTCGGTTTCGCGCGCGAACACTTCTACTTCGTTATTGTTTATATAGTTACAAATGAATTTTTAACAAATATATTCAAATGTTTTTGAGTTGGTTGAAATCGACTTCCGTTTTTTGACATAACAATCATTTCTCATTGATTCAATGAATTTAAAGGTTTAACTGTCATTCACACATACATAGTATGGGATAGTGGAATACTAGAATAATTCATTTTAAAAAATCTGTTGACCGATCACTATAAGACAATAATGACATGATATTTGAATGCATGTGTGCGTAGTTATGGTACGTGACGTGTTGAATTTATTTAGGTCAGCTGAAATAAAACACTATGTATCATTCAGGTATGTTTGTTATCGGTCTATTCATATCAATGAACCCTTGGTAAAAATCTTTATTTATTTATAAACTGAAATCGTTTATTATCGATTCTGTTGACATCATAATGTTGTAACTTCTACATTGGTATGGTTGTGGTCGATTTTACCATTCGAGCTGTATTTTTTGGTACACTCGTTCTTTTATTTGATACCATTCTAGGTTAATCAGTTGGAAACCAAATGTAGCTAAAAGCAATAAACTTGAAAATCCGAATATACTATTCAGCAATCTGCTCTATTATAATTTATTCTTATGAAATATAGTTTTTTTTTTACTCAAATCATCTTCATATTATCACTAATAATGTACCAACTCTATGATAATCACCTTAATTTCATGCTGATGTAGTGTTGAATTGGACTGATATAGACTTGAGCCACGTTCTGACGTTATTTATGACTGATTGAATTCAGTTGATAATAGAGATTTACCGAAAAAATTCAATCTTAATTAGTCATAATTTGGCTCTATAAAGGTTGAATCTTTAATCGACATCTGAGAAATTTCATAAATAACTATGCGTTTTCTCTGTATTTCATTTTGTTCGATTAATAATAAAACTCCTGAATTCTTTTGTCTTCTCAATGGTTAGGGGTCTGTATGAAGAGTTTATAGGATCTTAGAACATATTTGGTTAATATGTATTCAGATTAGTGGGTTGTGTAGGGGGGCTATGTAGATCTGGAGGTTTGCCATTGGTATTGTGGATGGTTCGGCATTGCTTTGACAAGTTTTGCTGACTGTTCATGGACAAAATTGGTTTGGTGGTTAACTAATTTCATTCATACTGATGGTTGCTTTTCAATGTTCTCAAGGACCATTGTCATTGGGAAATTGTAAGGCATGTCGCCATTAATGAGTTTGACTATCGTGTAAGCGGAATAGGTCAACTTTGGCATGTTCGTGCCGTACATAATTGATTCACGCCATCATTGGTCGGAATAACTACACATATGTGACGTGAATGTGTATATGAATGGTGCAAATGGTCCACCAGGGTGCTTGGTACCTGTGTGGTTGCGCCACAGGATTGAGCTGCACTATTCAGATTGTAGCGTTAAGGCCTATACAGTGTCTGGTTCTCCTGTTAAACGGGATTAAGCTGTACTGTTTGGGTTGTCACGTGAAAGTCTGGACGGTGTCTGGTTCTTCAGAAAACCAATGTAAAATTACCCTGGCCCACAAGGGTATATTATATAACTGTATTCAGGTTGGATACAACTATTTTATTAATTCTTGTATTCACTACCACACTGACATTTCGATTTACATATTTAACTATTTAAACACATAAACATTGGTACTAAAATAAGTAAAAACATATACGCGCGCCACACAATAAAAATGAGATTGCGAAGAGATAAAGGTAGGTGAGTAAAATAAAAAAGAGACAAAAAATAGATGAAAATAAGTGTATGTGAGCGAAATAATAATATTGAGAGAAGCAGTTCTGTTAAGAAAGGATTCTTTCGGTTAAAAAGTTCCTTTGATCTACATAACGAAAGTAAAAGAGAGTTATAGCAGGATCTTCACTGGCTTCTATATTTTGAGTTATGTCTATTCACGTCTCGAACCCATCTGTTACACTACCTTTTGGATTCCAACTAGGGAATCGTTAAGGACCTACAGATGCCAGTCCTGTGTATAGTTCTTTCATACCATGATACTATGCCATACGCTGACCACCTCTGTGCTTTTTCCAACCAGTCCCAGCGTCAGCAAATAATGCGTGATATGGAATGGTGACATTGAGCAACTCTGCCTAACTCCCCTTCTTGAATGAAAAAGTGGAGAAAGGTGGTTGTATTCTTTCATTCTGCCTGAGGTGTTAGTATGTAGGGCTTTCAAAGTTTTAACGTTTCTTCACACCAGTTTATAATTAGAATTAAGTAATCTAAATAATAATCTTATTTTATGTCACAGTTACTCAACATTCATGTATTTCTCATGACAGAATTTTCATGCTTTCAGAAGAAAAAAATCAGTAGACTTACATTGTGCTGTGTTGTTTTTAACTTTTTACAAAAATCCTTTTAGCACAAGGGTTCACTGCAGACTGTTGAATATTCATAGTTTACATCATGAACTGATATTAGCTAGACCATCATTGGTAACCAAAATGCACTTTACAACGTCGTGAATCGATTATAGTTTGATATGTGTGCACCATTAGATTTACATGCAAGTGTGATCGAAGGTCCTTGATTCTATCCCCTGTGTTGGAAATTCACTCAATAAATTGTAACCGTTTCTTCTCGTTTTTTTTCGGTTTATAAGTATTAATTTTGCTCTGTAGATCTTAATTATCTAAAAATAAGAAAAAATTAATTTCTCCGTGTTTTTCATTCCCCTATTATACATTAAAATAAGAAGGAGGTCAATTTGACATGTTGAAAATTGGATATTAAGTCCCATAAAGATTAGCGCTTGTTTTTATTTAATGAAGTTTAATCAGATTGAATGGAATTCAACCGCATACCTACACACACACACACACACACATACATACATACAAAAATGATATATTTTCTATGTAACAGCTCTATATCACATTGACTGACCTTAAGATGACATTTCTTCTAATATATAACATATATTGCTTTTAATAGCTTATTCAAAATGATATCTTTCATTTTAATTGACTTACCCTCTTGTTTTAACGGAAGATTAAATGATATCCTACTGTTTTGTTATTGTAAAGCTTATATTTCTTTCTCTGAATAGTTAATTCATATATTTGATTGAAGTGTTAATGGATAGATTTTCTTTTTGTTATTATTATGGAACAGTTAGTTATTAGTATAGTTATTCAACTTGTGATCAGTCGCTGATTCGAATCCCATTTCATCTAGTTTAACAACTGGCTATCACCACTGGCCGTCATACACAATGTATACTCCCTTTCAGCATGATTTTCATTATGGAACTGATAGTCACTGCCAAACCATTTAAAATTAGAAAGTATCAAATAGTAGTATGGAACCCATTAGCTTACTTATTTCTTAGTTATGTTTAAGCAAACTCATTTATCTTTATCGACCACTGAATTAGAATACAACAATGTCCATAATTCAATTCATCACCTAAACCGGACAACAATAATTATCAAGAAATAACTTCTTAGTGATTTTTAACAATAATCTAACTAAAGTTAGTTCATGGTGTAGACTATTCATTGAATAGAATGTGTAAAATTATTTTATAATTTTATTCTTGTTATTGTTTAGTTGGCCTTGGAAAAATGGTCCAGGTTTTTTAATACCATCAAATTTAACAGCACCATGTAATCAATTTTGTTATTCATCTAATAATCGAATAAAAAATTTTGATAATCGTCATTATACACATTACATTGAATCACAATGTTCAGTAAATCATTATAATCCTGTGTGTTGGACCGCTACCTCTACTACTACTACTACTACTGCTACTGCTATTAGTAGTAGTATCAAAAAGAAGACAACAAATAATCAAATAACTTGTACTAGTGGTGATAATAATCTCGGTAGTACAAATGACAATGTTGATAACTGTGATAAGAAATCATTGACATTTTTCAATCCTTGTTTTGCTGGATGCAGAACACGTGTTTTAGAAGCTGGAGTTGTAAAGGTAGGTGTTGTATTGGTCTTCCGTGTTGTATAATTTTTATGAATCTAAATGGATCATTTCTCCGTATATTAAATAATTTATATTTCACAATCGTTTTCTTTTAGTTCTTGATATTCTACAGTCTTGATGTCAATAGATAGAAATTGAAGTAATTTATATTTTATTTATCTAGTGATTAAAGGAAGCTGGTTTCAATTTGAAAAAGATTATATCTTCCATTTGTTGACATTAAATACTTCAATTGATGAGTCTCTTTTGAAATTCATGCATCCTGATCGCGAATAGACTCGATATTACTATTAAGTAATAAGTAGTTTTGGACAGTAGTAGATCTCAATGGGATCCAGCAAGAATATATAAAACTCTACAAATTAAATTTGTATTCGTTGGACAGGTTAGTGGCTATCTAGACTTTGAAGCTCAGTACATAACACATGGGGCATTTGATGTTAGAGTAGTGAATTGAACATGAGAACCCACTTATGTCCAGCCGATAAGCCTGAAATAAAACGAAACGCTAGTCGTGAATTCCACTGCTGGCTACCAATCAACTTTGCTAGAAGTTTGTTTCAGTTGGCCACTTTTTGGCTTGATCTCGTATAAATGTTTTTTTCTACTTTATGGTGTGATGCGGTCTGTTTCTCCGGTATATAAACCAAGTATATTTTAAATAAATGATTCGCATAGTGGAAGCTGTTATTAGTGTTCTGGACTCAACTGGACGGGGTAGGCGAACAAAGGAACAATAAGGGCGCTCAGCTGCTCATACCAGTCGAACGACATAAGTTTGGGACAATACTAAGATTGAAGAAGTCGTATCTCTATTGGCAGATAACAAGCCGAGCTTAAAGTCACAACAATTATCATTTTTTAAAAACAAAGTATATATTTGCGATTGTATAGCTTTAAAAATAAATTCACCGTAAAGAGAACTCTTCACTTTACCAGTATTTCTTATTTCAATATTCCACAATATTTTATGATTGATAAAAGTGTTTGTATTTCCCCGCTATTAATATAATGGACTAGATTTTGTTTAGTTTTTGTTGATATTTGCACTCATTAAGCGGATATTTAGATATTAGATGTATTTATGAATTTGATAGTGTTTTTGAATGATAACTAGTGATATAATCTGGGAAATGTTTCATCCTACTCAGAACTCATCGACTAGATTTACCTAAGGTGATAAGCAATGGTTTCCAGTTCCAGTTTGAACTTCAATATCGCTTCACTAATATATATACTGTTGATCAGCCTGAGATTTAGGACAAGGACTAACCATTAATAATTCCTATCAGTTGCATAAATTCTCTTCTCTGTTTAATCTACGTTAAACTTGTATGTTTTCCAGTTAGCGTACACAACTAGTGTAAAGCATAGCAGGTCGGAGTAATGTATATTTATTATGAGAAGTTACAAAATATTTACATAATAAATATACATTACCTTCAGTTTTCCATTTAAATCTTTCTGTGTGCTCTGCAATCTGAATCATATTCTCGTCTGATCCACACATGTTATGCCAACTCCGTGTTTTCAATGTTCTGAAACTCTTCACCCCGTCTGACAATTACTATAACTCCAACGCCACATTCCTCTACATATTACTTAAAAATAACCTTGTAAGTAGCGTCCACTACACTAGTATATTAACGATTTTAGAACCATTCAGACAGAACAATTTTAGAATTATTTATAATTCTCATTATGTGAATCATGAAGCATATCGTCTATTTTGTATAATTCCAATCGCTTAGATCATTTATTTTGATTGATCTAAATAATCATATATATAACAGTGATTACTAATTGTTTTAATGTTGTTTATTGGTTCTTTGTTTATTTACCTATTTAACAGTGCGTAGCTTCCTTCATTCCTTAATTAAATACCGTAAATCTACTATTCAATAATGAATACTTCATAATTGTAATTGTTTTAGGATTTGTGTAACATTAAGTCAATATATACATTGTGTTGTACTACATCAGTCAGCCATAAACAATACAGAACCTCACATACATATTCATTTATTCATGCTACCGTACTACAGCATGATCAAAATATCAAGGCAAATTTCAGGGTAATAGAATGAGTAACAGTATCAGTGGTAGTGGAAAAGATTTTATGTATATTATGATCAGAGAAGAAAGAATAAACTCGTAGAATTAAAAGTATATGATTATTTTAAAACTCCATGATCTAAGTGAAGAAGAAAAAATATTCTGAACCAGTGTTACCTAGCAATTCCAACTATAGATTTAAGATAATCTCGCTCACCCTGATCAGGTAATCTGTGCCTATTAACACGAATCATTTCAGTAGTCACTAGTAACATGGTCTGATACTTTGTTTTTGGTTTGGCCACCTCTAACTTTCTTCTAATCTATTCTCATGTAAATTTATTGACTTGTACATTGGTAACCATTGTAAATCTCTTTCTAAGTGTATAACACTCATTCAGTTTTATTTTTAAAACAAAAGAAATATTCTTCTCTTTTTACAACTAGAAATATTCTGATTGTCAATGTGTAACCCCATCTACACTTAATCCATCTGGTTTGACCTCATCAATATCAATGTCATTATCATCGTCGATGAGAATAAATAATGAATTTTTATTAGCAAATAATTCTGGTGAAGTTTATCCTGGTCGATGTAAACCCAAGTGTACTTTGTATGGTTTATTTTTAGCTATGTTATTCTTACATATTCTTTGTACTGGTATCTTACAAAATCCAAGTAATGTAATCACATTGAGGTAAGTGGATTGATGATGATGACTACTGAATATTGTTTTTTGTTAGAATTTCTTATAAATGAATTAACACTTCCTACGATATTACTTTGTTTTCTGATTACTGTTCTTGAAAGATTTCATCTAAGCCTTGATGATATATGAAGCGAATTCGTAAATATTTCGATCATTACTAGTATTAGCCTCTGACACTCAAAATGTGATTGAAATACAAGTACACATCGGGTAACCCATATTTGTTCAAAAAATTTTATCTTAAATAACATTAAACTATTGTTTTGTGTTTAGAATGTTTTGAGGTTTATAAGAAGTATTCTTCCATGATTTATTATTGATCTCTTGACAAGTAAACTACCAGGTTGAAATATTCATGTGTATTGCACGCAATATAATACCAAATGCCCTGATACAACCAAGAGTGGGGAGAGTTCGCTCTCCCTCTGGAAATGCTCTCACATGGCAACGCGTATATAGCCTCTGCCAGGGAAGTCCTACTCGCTGCATTTTCTCACCAAGGGTGTTGTTCACGAAATTGGGAGGATGAAAAGCGAATATCCGGCGCTTTAACCAGGTTGGTGGACATGAAAAGTTCACCTAGGGAAGTTGGAAAACCCTGATTCCAAACCAATGGTGCACATGGACTCCAGTATCCTGAAGGAACAAATGGTGTATGAACCAATCGGAGGTCACCGGCTACCATGGGACTGTATGTCCTTACGATGCCTCACTACCTTGTGTGGCGCATATGTATTTGGTACCTCCTTGTACCAATATCTATGTGTTCAAATAAAATAAATTAAAAAAACCAATTCAGAAACCATTTATCATATCGTCAGTTTTTCTTCATGTCAGCTTTCATTATAACCTACGTAAAATAAATTTCAATTTTAAGAAACTTTATGGATAAATTCAGTTTAGATGTTCATCAATAATCCGAAAATCAACCCAATAATTGTTTTATTCTATTTTCATAAACCGTTATTCCAAATTAATTCATGTATAATCATAATATAGTTTCAGATAATTAAAATATCTCCTTTTTAAAATAATTGAACCATATAATCAAGCTACATTTCATTTAATTAAATTTAGGTCACTGGATAGTGTTATTTATAGTCCCTATAGATATATGAATGCATAAAAGCGTAACTCAAAGTTGAATAGAAATCTTCGGTTGATGAATTTATTACTTCAATAATGAAATCTACTAATCCTGAACGTAAAGTTAATTTTGTTCACCAAAGAACGTTTAAAATATCAACGATACATTCCCAATCGAATGTATTCTTTTTTTAATGAGTAGCTTTATAATCTGCAATTTAATACGGTATATTTCCCACATGTAGGGTCGTTGATACACCATTTGATGTGTCCCATACTAGGACGAAACGGGCACCCATTACTTCCGGGTGCTCCTACTTAGATCACTTCATTTTTTTTTAGTGAAATAGAGTACAATTGGAAAGAATCGTTAAAAAAATGTTACCATAAATCAGTTGAATGTTACAAGTTTATGTAAATACTTAGAATTACTACACAACATCAAATAAACTACATACTATTTGCTCAAAAGTTATTAGCATCGAAGTTGATTACTGATTATTAATCAGTAGCGTAATTATTACAGAGGAAGAAAGTCTAATAGGAAGGGAATAAATATTTTCTAAATAATCCCTAACGAACCTAACACTCAGGCAATCTGGAACGATATGATGGTCTTTCCTTAATTAATTGATGAGCGCTAATTTCTTGTTTGACATTTGAATATCAAGAATCAATACCAATGGTGAAGATTTGTAGCTTTGGTGAATGATTTTGGTCTTTTCTTCCCCAGCTTAGTGAAGAAAAGAGAAATAAACTGTGTAAATGTTTCTTTTTATACGAAGAATTAATGAATTTTTGTAGCTTCCACTGCACACAAGAGCAAATATATAAGTTAAACTATATGGGATTCAATGTATCTATCTTTATGTGTTACATTTATATCAATTTGTTGGCTCGCATCAGTAATTATACATAGATAGAACTTGTTTTTATGTTTTACTTGTCCTCAATCATAAAAGGTAATGTTCCTAGGTAAACGACAATAGATTCGCCTCATTTGTACGCCAAATGCATTTCTATCACTGACCTACGTTCAAGTTGTCTAAGGATTAAGAAATATTAATAGTTGAACTCATGAGTCAATTGAAGCCAGACCACCATGGAAAACCTAGAAGCACATATTTTCCATGGTGATCTGACTTCAATTGACTCATGAATTCAACTACCAAAATTACTGTAGTATCCACAAAACCCCTTTCTAATTAAGAAATATGTTTTAAACATTCAATCATATATAACTCAGCTCAACAGAAGTTCTAACATGTATAGGGTCTCTTTTCGTACACTACTGGATAAAGTTTGTGTACTTTTTTGATATTTTTTTTAAAAATGATAGACAGTGTTAATGTTGTTTCCTCTTCACATACAATTGTTTGTAAATATGTTACCTACAATCGATACTATTTGATTCCAATAAACCAAACTATGTGTTCTTCATCTATTATTGATCTCACTTCATTGATTTTCATGAGTTCTAGATATAATATAACCATTGAACTTCAATGGTAAGATTTCTATTTTATTAGTTATAACCGACATATAGCTTGGCGGATATGTTTTTTGACTCAAGCTTCCACACCTTAATATCATGATGAGATAAAGATGAACATTAAAAGAATCAGTATAATTAAGTGGTAATAATGATGAGAAAGATTAAACATAGCAAACATCGTCCGAAAAGACTAAATAAAAAGAAGGTATGTACAAGAGAATACTGTAGCTGAAAATCGTCATTAAGATAAATAGTGAACACATCTATGCCATATCATTCAATGTCTTTCACCACTAATTGTAATTATTACAATAACCTCAAATCAAGATCATTTGTACTTATCCAACATGGTTAAGATTAGTTCTTTTGAAAATATCCTTTTCTTTTCAAATGAATACCATTGTTCATTCATATCCTTATAAAAATGAATTAATAGAGATATGATTTGTAAATTTTTCTTTCTAGTTGTGTCTCATCAGAAGATAGTTCCGTTGCACTTGGATTACAGATATTCTTTGTCAGAACATTAGGTAAGAAAAAAAATTGTAAAATAATATTGTTTTATAATTGGGTTTTTTTTTCGTTTGTTTTATTCAGATAAGTAGTTGATAGGTGGAGAATTCAAATGTGAATACTTCATCTTTTGGGTTAATAATTAGGGCTGGTTCGCTCAAAATTTATACAACATCTCCCCATCATCCATTTGTTCTTAATTTTTTTGCTCAAAATGTATCAGTGACATTGGGGACTGTATAATTGTAACTGTAACTGTGGAATAATTCCAATATGTTTTGACGGTTGATAAACTAATCTGCTCTGAACTTGAAGTAGTTGTTTCAACTCACGGATTGACATACTGTCATTATTCAGAACGCACAAACCACGTGCAGAATTTGTTCTGAACTCACCCACGTGATGTATGTTAGCATCAGTTTATCAATCGAAACCAATTATTTTCAAATTGTTTTTTGCTACTCTAAATTTAAAAAGCAGTTGATAAAAGTTTCGGTAGGATTGGATAGTAGCTATCAATTGAACTAAGGACGAGCGTTTCGTCTCATGAAGGACTCATCAGCCGGATATACTACCTTAAGTCGATTGTTCACAATGGAACTTAGACATATCACCTTTCATTTCAAATGGCCAACACATTATCCACTGAGCTAATGAGTCCAGATAACCACTAGCTTGTATAATCGATATAAACTTAACTCTATATTTCCTTTTAGTCACAAATTTCAGTAAAATTGGATAGTGGTTGGCAGTGGAATCAATGATATATAATTGAATGGCAATATCGGACCAGTCTGCGTTCAGAATACACGAACATCATAAAGGAATGATTAGGTGATATCTTGAACATTTCAACAATTGGTAAAATACCAAACCTTTACAAATAACTGATATATGGCTAGCAAAATTAAGATGTAACTTCCTAATGAATGTGAGCAGGCAAACACTCAGTTTACTTACTATTTAACGTTTGATTTTCATGCTATGTTTAATTTCTACTCGGGACTCATTGAGTGTAAACTGCTTATAATTGTGCTGATTAAGCTATTGCCTAGCCGTGTTCTGTAGTCTTTTTTTATATTTTTTCGTGAATCGTGTATCTAGTATAACGTTATCCAGTCTCTGTATATTGTATCTATTGAGTATCTAGTCTAATGGTAACCTAATCTCGATCTCGATTGTATTATAGTAATTGTTACTAGAAAATATTCTTAATCTCTCTTTTTTTCAATGACAGTTGGATAGGAATGTACACCTTTTAATCAGTGAATCAATGTTCTTTGTTCATTTTTTTATTTGATTAGCATATATTCCGGCACCGATGTATTTCGGCCAACTATTCGATTTAGCTTGTCAATATCGTTCAAATCCTATAGATCGCTATTCATCCAGTCCAATAAATAATAATGAATCGTTATTAATGAATACAAATGTATTATCCTCGTTATCAAATTCATCCATATTATCATCGTCTTCGTCTTTTTCACCATCATCATCTCCACTGTCATCAATCTACTCGTCGTCTTCTACAACCACTGCTACTACAATGTCTTTAGATCAAAAGTATTCTACAACAGCTGGTGGATGTTTAGAGTATAATTTAGAAGGCTTACCATTTATTTGGCTTGGTACCGTGTGTGTATTGAAAATAATTAGTTTGATTGGATCGACAGTTACTTGGTGGTTAGCCAAGTAAGCATTGTTTTTGTTTTTTTCTAAGTAGATTGCTTGTTCGGGCAGGTATTGGTCGACGTGTGATTGGGCCATAGTGACAGGAGTGTAGTTGTATGATTCCCCTCTCTCTTCCTAGTTCGATTATCGATTAGTTCGCATATGTTGTTAGTGGGACCGGTAATCTTTTATTTACTGATTGACGCATCGATCAATGAGCAATAGCCAAGATATTAACGATTATTTATCTTCGAGCACTTTCTAACCCAGTAGCCAATCGGAAGACGAAGGTAGAGATAGCAGATCAGTTGTCTTGTACTCCGTTCAATCATGACCCAAAGCTCAAACAATAATATACTTGACATATTTCTATCACGCGGCAACACAATTAGTGTACATAACTTAGTCACATGTGACACGGAATCGAAGTAATAGGGGAATAATTAATCAATGATAAACCTAGAGTAATGGAACGTATGACAGCGATTTATGGAATGAACGTAAGATTAAAAATTCCAGACATCGTATATTTGGATTTAGGCGTTCAGGTCTCCCATCACGTTGAACAGGTCCTTTCCTGACAATTTCTCTACTGCAATCTCTCATCAAACTGGTGTTTATCGTCTTTGTTCTCGTCATTGGTAGGCGCATAGTACTGGATAATTCTCTCTTTTAGTCTTAAGAATGCTCTGGTGATTCTAGGTTCGTGAGATTTCCATCCCATAAGTGCTTTTCGTGCTTCTTTGGACAGCATCATATTATTGCACAAAATCATGGATCGATTGAAGTCAGACATGTTTAGAGTTCACACGCGAGACTGAAGGTCCTGCGTGCGAGATACAATTCACATTTCCCTTTCAATCACTATTTGATTATCTTAGTGTTAACATTGATATAGACTTCAATATCATAGACAGTTTAACTCACATGAGGCTTATGTCAAACAGGGTTTCATATTAATCACCTTGAGTTATCACTTAGAACAAAACTACAATACATATCTTAAGAGAAACCATCTAAACTAATAATATACGATGGAACTTGATCGGAACTAGACAAAAGAGATGACAATTAATTAGTGTAACTTCTAAAACTGTTCGTTTTATTCTGTTGTTATAATGTTTTCATTTCGATCTATTGAAACAATGTCGTGATCATTGTCATTATCACTTTAATGTATAATTTAGTTGTTCTCTCTTTATACAATACACATACTCATTTCTCTTTGTTTCGCTTATTTCAAAGACGTCAATTCGATTTGGTGGCAAAACACAAAGAAAAACAACAAACTATCGAAGATGAGGGAACAAAGAAAGAAATGGAACTTGCATTACATCAGACAATTACCTCTGATCCAACTATCATCAATAATAATAACAATAATAATGCATTTGAATTAATCGATTCAACGTCAAATGGTCATCAAATACAAATTGTATAGTCAAATAATAATCACCATCGTTATCAAGGTCCAGTATGATCTCACGTGTATGTGTCTTTGTATGTTCTTTTGTTTGTTTAAAAAGGAAATTTTACTCAACCTTTTACTTGCTTGTGGTTTGTCTCTTTTTTGGGTTTCATTTACTTCACTTTTCTCTCTAATTATGTCATGGTATATGAATGTAGTGGGATTTCTTAAGTGAATTAATAAGGATGTTCACTAACTTTGAAGAAGAAAAAAAACATACAAACTTTTTCTTTCCATGTACATAATTCACTCGTAAAACTTCTTGGATTTCCTCTCTCTCTCTCTCGTAAAACAGTAGTTGCTCACTTGTTATTTTTAATACACTGAACTTTTATTCACTAAGTCACTGATTTAACACACTTTCACACTACTTAATTTCATCTAAACAACCGAGTAGTAGTGGTGTTATTAATCTTTTTTTTCCTAGTTACCTTTTGACTTGTTATAATCTCATGTAAAGTATATTATAAATGAAATTGAAACTTTGAATGTTCATATTATAGAATAAGCAATACAACAATGATTATGTTCATTATCATCTATACTATCTCTTGTGTTATCTAGATTTGATTCATTAAAAAAAAAAGAAAGTATTATCATGTGTTATTGTATAATAGTTCCTCAATTACTTTTCCTCATTATTTTCTTTGTCTTCGCTACAATCATCATTGTAAATTATGATTGTTAAGATGAGGTAGGTGGGTGGTTTGTTTGTTGGTTATCTTATTGACCTAGTTTTTGTCACTTTAAATGTTGTCATTACTGCATTTTTTTTTCTTTTTCATTTAATGTTCACTATGTAGTTCTACAAAGTGAATTGAATTATGTTGTGTAGTTTCTTTTCATTTAAATGTACTACATGTTGTTATAACCTGTTAAAGTGTATACATGTGTGTTCATTGAAATTTCTATATAATTATTTCTAATAGCCGGTGATAATAATTGTTGTCTACAATATTAGGCATATATTTCCTTCTTGTATTATGTGTGTTTTCTCATATTTCTATATGGATTTCTTCTTGTATAGTCTCTCTCTCTCTCTCTCTATCAATCATTCAATGAATCTGTATGCTTATATGCGAAGCAAAAACATATGTTCTTTCTTAACAATAATAATGATGATTATAGATTACTAACATCATTTACACTGAATTACAATTTAATAACTTATGGTCTTTGATCTGATCAAAGTGTTAAGTAGAGAATTAATATCATTTAGTATAGTCGAAGATGTAGTAAACATCACTTAAAGCTAAGAACAAACAAAGAACCGATTTGTATGAGGGCTGGGATACTGCCCGGGTGCCAAAGCTGTAGCAGGTAGTTTTCTTAGGGGGCCACAACTGGAGCCTTCGACCTAAAGTTTTGAACCACAAAGTAATGGAGCAACGCCAGGAGATGCAGTCCCATGGTAGCCAGTGACCTACGATTGGTTCATACACTGTTCGTTTCCTTAGGATATTGGAGACCATGTACACCATTGGTTTGAAATCAGGATATTCCAACTCCTCTAGGTGGACTCTCTTTGTTCAACAACCCGGTTAAAGCGCTGGGTATTCACTTTTCATTCAATTTCGTAAATAACACCCCTGGTGAGAGAAGGCAGTGAGTAGGACTTTCCTGTCAGTCGTTGTATGCACGTGGTCATGTGAGAGCATTTGCAGAGGCAGAGGGCTGATTCTTTCCACTTTTAGCCGTACCAGGGCATTTGGGAGCTTTAGTGCGAAAGGAAATTATTGACATTGTATTGCATTTACCCAACAGACAAAGGTATCAGTAAAGTCATGGAACCTTTAAATTTTAGAGAATGAAGCTCAATAAATGTTTCATATTTAATATATCTAGAAGTTGAACTTGTTGGAAATTCCAAAAATATCCCTCGTCAGTCTCTACATACCCAGAAATTGTCAGATGTTTTTCTCCAATTAGCGTCAGACAGAAACTTCCTCAAAATATCTAAAAGGATTAAAAATCGTCTGATTGGATATCTAACTATACTGTTACCATATTTAGCATGTTCCCGATCACGTTTATGTACAACTTGATATATACACCCTCGATTTTCTGTAAATAAACGGATTTATCAGAAATTTGTTTTGGGTGTATAGATCAGAAGACTCGTTGAAGTATGTCCTGAATCAGTTAGCCAGTATTTACGTTGTGTATAACGTAAAACTTGGTATAAATGTGCACCATCATTTCAAGTTGTCACATCTATATATTCAGGAAGAAGATTAACTAGATCGAAGGCACGGGAATCGAAATAATTATTGTTCAGGGAAAAAACTAGACTACATAGTAACACAAGTAAGATAAAGATTACCTATATCTGTGCCACTAATCAATTCGAGAAGTTTTCAAGCATTAATTCCAACCAATAAGTGTATATCTCGTGACGCGGCGGCCCAAGTTCCATTGGGAGTAACCGGCGTAATCAATTAAGTAACTTTTTGTTTTGGTGTCAAATTTTGGGTTGAGCTCTTCTAATTCTTTCCGATTCAACGTGAACCAAGATCCCTTGTCACGGAGACAGTGGCTGAGAATGTATGACACATCTGCCAACTATTTCTGTTGACGAAGATTCACAGCCTTATAGAACGTTTCTAATGTCTAATTAGTATCCTACATCTGATTCCACTACGTGGTCGAATAGTAGTTACTTACAGATATCCATTGCATTCAAAGACATCCCATCGTCATGATTTAAAACATATTGAACTCCTGCATTATTTATATTCTCTATGGGGGAATACTTACATTTCATAGCACAATTTGATAAGAGATCGTTTTGCATAATAATAGTTCAAATTTTGATAAATTAAAATTAACTGGCTAACAACTGGTTCATTAATAGCATATTTACAGAACCGAGCATAAAACAACTAGTCCCTGTGTACAGGTTTACTTCATGTAATGAGAAAACGGAGTTGATCTATAATACATTTCTAACCAATCTGGTTAACAGATACTTGTTAATGAAAATCAATGGCAACTAATTGGGCAGATTCAAGGTTAAAACAAATTGTTTATATTTACACAAAGGAGTTTCTAATCCCTAAAACTGTATGTCTAACAATATCCATACAAGTTTTTTTAAGGTGTTTTGAAGTTAACCTTATGATCTGTTACAACTATGTGTGTTACTAACGACAATAACTAATTATGAAAGTATTTAGATACATGCCCTCAGGATGGATTGTTTGATTACTTCATCTTATGTGTGTATGCCCACACATTGGTAAGTACAGTGGGATATAATGTAAGCATTTATACAATATTGAGTACTATCTTTAAACATAGACTTAGTCTTTTCAATGATAATTGATTTAGTAAAATAGTAGGGTTACTCGATGTCTAATTCTAATCTTTGCTTTTTCTACGAAACAGAACTAATAAGGAGTTCCAATTTTCAATGACTTTTAAACTGGTATATGAACTTGAACAGATAACTGTTCGATATCAATTTTTTAGTCAGCAGTTTCAGATCTTCAATAGTATTTGTAATGCAGATTCTTTGAAATATTTTGAGGGGAGAATTCTTATCAAACCTAACCTGTATTTCAGTGGACATAAATTGTAGGTTAGATATTGACCAGTCCATATGAGCTTCCTGTAAATTGATTGTTTTTTAAATCGATCTTCCTTTCGACTTAAAAGCTTATTTAGAAGGGACAAATCGTCAGTATTTTCCCCTTCATAAGTTAGTACGAAATTTTGACGTTATTAGGTCTATCTACAAATTGATCCACAACGAAATTCGGGAGACTATAATTTATGGAATAATTAATGAATTTACAGATAGTAAGTCCTGGATTTTTGCACGAAATTCACTCATCCATATGATTAAATGAAATTTCGGCATTATAGCTGACGCAAGTTCGTGATGGAAATTTTAACATGAATTCTTAACAACAGCTTCTATCTGTAAATCCTAATCTTAGCCTTAGTGCACACGAGGCTTGGGAAGGTCCGCTCTCCCTACCGAAGTTTCCACATACAATTATGCGTTCTTAGCCTCTGTTAAGGAAGTTCTACTCACTAACATTCCTCAAAGAGGCGTTGTTTACGAAAGTAAGGGGATAAAAAGCGAACGTCTGGCGATGAAACCGAGTTGGTGAATATAGAGAACTTTCATGAGGAGTTTTGGAAATCTTGATTCCTGACGAATAATGTATATGTGCTCCAAGGGCCCTAGAAAACATATGGTGTATGTGCCTATATTTGGCTACAGGTTACAACATCCCTTAACATTGCTCCACTATCTTTTGTAATTAGACCTTTATATCAAAGCCTAGATGAGTTGCCTCCTAACATTCTACTTGCTTCAGTTTAGGCAATTTTGTCGTATCCCAGCCTACACACAAACTTTTTCTGTTCAGTCTAGTCTATTTTTGGTGCCTAATTTTACTAGATTTTTATTCCATAGATCATAAACATAGAAGCTTGTCTATATTTGTGAGATTCAAAGGTAAACAGTACGATTGCACATATTATAAAACATTAACCTTGATCGCTAGTAAATTTACAAGACATATGAACAGTAAATCCACTAATCTAATCAGTTTTTACATAATCAATCAAATATATTTTTAAAAGAAGCGATCAATGACAATAAGAGAATAACTATTAGATCAACAGATAAATTTTGATTGTGAACGAAGTGATCACAAGTACTGTTAGAGGTGTGACGCAGTTGTTAACTTTCGTTCGAATACTCTTTGAAGTGACAAATGATATTGAGATGCTTGAAAATGTAACTAGGTCGGAGATGGTCTAGACGAACTGATATGGTGATCGCACTGCTAAAGGGGAAACTGCTTAAGGTCGGTCATGTACAGCCTTTATGTGAATAGTTTTAGATGAGTTAGCGACAGAAATCAAAAGAGTAAATTGTAGTGTTTTGTTTCTAGGGTCTCTCCACATAATTCTGTGTATGAAACACGGTCTTTGGAAGTAGAACACATATGTAGACCCCAGGATTTTTTCATAGATACTTCGACGCACTATTCGCTTATCGTAAGACGACCGATTGAGAAATGTTGAAATTAAGGTACTAGATAATAAAGGAAAATCGATTGATCAGGTTATAAATCATCACCTGAGGTGGTCAGGACGTGTGTTACATATGCCCTATCACCGCCTACTTTGACAATGCATACAAACCAAAAAGTTATTGAAAGTTGGTCTGAGTCATGTTGGCAGATGTAGACTACCCAGTTGGGATCAGCTTAATAACCGTCATCAGTGACTTGAGACTTTAAGTAATATGGCTCAGAATCTATCACCATTACACAAATACATTAACTCTTTATTCGGTCTTGAATTTCAATATTTCTTCGTACATGCCTTAGAACACTATCTTTTCAAACAGTATTCTGAATGTATGTTTACTTTCATTATCAATGCTATTATATTATTTGGATTCCATTGCAACTCGTCATGTTAATCTGACCTCATTGTATTGATCTGGCACAGTAACTTGAGTCAACACTCAAGCTGTACGTTGATTATAAATGACTAGATCAATTGATAAAAAAACACAACAATGATTTTCACAAGCAAAAAGAGGATATATTGGCTGTTTTGAAAATAGAATAGCCACTACATAATGAAATTATGCGTACAATACATTATTAAAAGCATTAAAAACAGTAAAATAGATGATGATTACCATCCATCGTTTAAATGTTAGATTTCTTCTAAATGAATATGAAAAGTAAATAAAGAGAAATAATGAAATCGGATTTTCTAAAAAATATTATTTTCAGAAGGGGTTTTGTGGAGATTTTAGAAATTTCAATAGTTTAAATAATGAGCCAATTGAAGCTAGATCATCATGGAAAACCTGAAAGCCCTGGACAACCGTTTCGTTTTAGTATGGGACTCCTCAACAATGCGCATCCACGATCCCGAACCCCGCGAGATTCGAACCCAGAGCCTATCAGTTCATGTTAGTGGGGTTCAACCAGGTCTGTTTTGAGATATCAGCTCACTGAGGACAATGGTGTAATGTAGCGAAAAAATTATCTATCAAACATCTTTTATTTCTCTGTTACATAATGCAAACAGTTAACATGTTACATGAAGTGTTAACATCAATGTTAAATGATTACATAATGTATTGACAGATTAGATGGCGATACTATAATTTGTGGACGAGTCAATCAGAAGGGTGTGAGGGAGTTCAAAGTCACGACTCCCATTTCAGTACTTGAGGTTTACGTACGATCGGTTCACAAAGGATTCTAGAGAAGATATGATAATTGAGCGGCTACAACAAATGGGACTATTAGGATGTTTTTTTATTTGTTATTGTGATAATCAAATGACTTGTTGACCTTGTGTAGACTACCATGGTGATGTTGTCTTTCGATATAATATATGTTAGAGGAAGAAGTCTGCTAGAATAAGGACTTTTTTCGTTCGATTCAAATAGAGACGAAGACAAATTCTGATATTTGTTGCGAACTGTATAACAAAAGCATCAGTAACACTGGCTGCAACATTCGCAGATATTACTGAAGCTTCGGTTGTTTAGTGGTATGAGTATTGTAGAGATGTATGTGTAGTAAAAATGACAAGCTTACACAACCAGAGTGCACAAAATAAATATTGAGGATATGTGGTCGAGGCTGAAAGAGATTTTGCGACTTTATCATGGCTCCAGAGGCCGACTATTATGAAGCCATAGGGATTAGTTCCTGTTAGGATATTCAGAAAATACCCCTGAAACTATCTAATGCTATTCCTGAGTGAGAAATAGTGTCATTCCCCCATTGATCAATATTCTTCCAATGTGTCATTTCCCTATTGGTCAATATTTATTTGTGTCATTTCCTGGAGGTCAAATCTTGTACAAATGTTACTTTCTATTTTATGGTACGATGTAGTCTGTTTGTTTGGTATATAAACAGGGTATGTTTGAAATATAATGATTCATATATCCGAGGCTGAGACTTGTGTTCTGGACTCAACTGGCTGGGCTAGACAGGGAAGCAGGGCCAATCAGAACTCTAGGTTGCTCTTATGTGTTTCACGTGTCTTTAGTCCGATCGATAATTCGCTGCTCTCTAATAAGCGGACTTCGCGTTATAACAGTTCCTTTATCGAATGCATTACGACTTTAAAACCTCTGAACCTCTTTCTAACCTTGATACGTTTTTGAACCATGTAGAAGAAGTGTGTCCACTATAATTCTTTGGTTTTGCATAATATGTTTTTACGATATATTAACTGCTTTCTGATTGATTAACCTTTTTCAAAGTCACTTAAAATTCATTTAAAGGTCGTCCATAAATAATAGTCTCGTCAGGGATTGATGCATCTCATGAGAATCAAACCAGTTTCAGGATTAAGGATGTTATCATAGAGTTATTCAGACCGTGATTGACTGCATCTTTAACTCTTCGGGATAGAATTCTGAAGTGTGGACGAGAATGATAATGATTGGTTGTCTGCTTAGTCAGACATGTAGACAGTCTGACAGGTATCAGATAAGTTATATATTCCCTTATCCTTATTATTGCGACACACAATTATTGTTGATTGTTCAGTGTTATGGATTGTGTCGGTTTTTGGTGTGGAAATATATTACGTTCTGGTCAGGCTAAGTACTTGTTCTTGGTCTGAGTTGTGTTGATGTCCTGTAGAATAGACACTGGGAGGGATCTAGTGTAGATAATCGTTTAAGCGTTATAACAAATTCATTGTTTACTAACTGAAATCAGTGATAAGTATTGTGCAGAGCATTTTTTTATTTACGTGGCAAGAATTTTTACGGACAATATTTTCTTATATACTTGTTCCCTTCTGTCGTTTAACTACTATTATATCCTGTCTCCCTCTCTCTTTTAACAATTCTAGGGCTTAACATTTCACTTTTTAAAGTGAAAAAAATGTATTATACACAATGAATGGAATGAATGGTAGTTAGTCATTACCCATCTGTATGATAAGTTATTAGATATAAACCAGATATCTGTGATGTATGGAAAAGTTGTCCAAAACAGACAACAAGTGAGAGCTGTGTAATATCGTGAATTGACAGAATTTGGACACTAACATGATTGGATACCGGCTAATTGATTTAGAGGTTAAGTATTCGTGAGCTAAACTAAAGATTTTAGGTTTGACTTTTGGATGTAAACTTGTAAATGTACACTTCTAATAAGGAGTTCTGTGCTAGAATGAAACAAGCGTTCAGTTCTTCAAAATTTTCAATGGTGATCTAGTAAATATTAGTTTTTGATTTAAATTGAAAATTTATAATTGAATAATGAATACAACTATATGTCGATGGTTAAGATCGTGAGTCAGTTGAAGCTAGACCACCATGGAAAACATGGAAGCACTGAACGGCCGTTTCGTCCTATTGTGGGACTCCTCAGCAGTGCGCATCCACGACCTCCCCCCCCCTGCGAGATTCGAACCCAGGACCTACTAGTTTCGCGCGCGAGCACTTAACCATCTATATGTCCTTTATATATAAGTGAACCTGAAAGACTTCATCCTAATAAATCATTTATGATGTAAACATGAACTTATTCAAAGTTTAACTATTTGAATCTATATAGTAGAATTAATACAACTTGAATTTCTCAATTTTATAAACATGTATGTTAATTATTACTAAAATTTAATCAGTAATAATTTTAACAAACAATAAGAATATTAGATGAATCTCTAACAAACGATAAGTGTAATTATGAAGATAAACATTCAAGGATGAACTAATTACAAGGTTCATAGTAAACATCACCTTAACCATTGACAAATAAATAAAATCATAGGAATGTTAGTATCATAGTGTTGTTGTATGACAGACACTTTATTGCCATTATTCACATGTAATTCCAACTTAGAAGTTAAATATTTTTGTACTTTCTGTGAAACCTGAATGTTATCATTTCGATCCTCTGTAAAGTTGTATGAGTGTGTAATGGTAAACAGTTCCAAACTATCACAAGACAATAATGTTACGATGATTCTCAGAGTATTTTAAGTAGTACTATAGCTGATGTCAGTCGATGATGGAAAATAGACTTAGAAACATTGAATAATCTCCACAAGTACCTTATATGAATACTAAATATCTTATTATTTTTATGGCTAATATTAAATGTCATACCCACCGAAGATTGATTCTCCACAACAGATTTCTTATTCAGTTTATCCTTGAGTGCTTCGATGTTCTGTTTATCCTAAGAAAAGGGATATTTAAAAATTATTAATAATGCTTAATGATTACCAAACGTCGGAAGTATTCATCTTCTAAAGTGGCTTCCCTTTTGCCTAATGAACCACCAGCTTCACGAATAGAACCACCGGCACCACCTCCCTGAAACAGATAATGAATTATATAAATCAGAGGAGGTTTTGTGGAGATTGTAGTAATTTCAATATTTGAGATCATGAGTCAATTGAAGCTAGATCACCATAAAAAAACCTGGAAGTACTGGACGGCCGTTTCGTCCTATTTTAGGACTCCTCAGCAATGTGCATCCACGACCTCGCCCCCCCCGCGAGATTCGAACCCAGGACCTATCAGTCTCGCGCAAGAGCGCTTAAGCACTTGGCCACTAAGCCGGCATACAACGGTGTTAATGTCTAACTTCAACCAATCCACGAAATTGAGCGACACATACACCATTGTTATCAGTGAGTTACTATCTCACAACAAACCCGGTTGAACTCCACTGGTCACTGCTTCTCACTAGAACTCCAGCAAATACCTCTTGGAGACCGTCACTAGCGAGCATATGATGATTATAATCAGAGAAGGGATTTGTGGATATTACAGTAATTTCAATGGTTGAGATCATGGTGGTCTAGCTTCAACTGACTCATGATCTCAACTATTTTAAGATAAATCTATTGTTGTCAAGGTAAAAAGGTTAATGTTATTATTATTATTCGCATGATTCGTAAAGAAAATTATTTCTGAATTACCTTTCCTGCTCCACAACCAGGCTCTGATCCTTCAAACATGGTTTGTATAGTGCTATAAACATAGAAAAAAACTGAGAGTTAATGGGCAAGTTCTTTAATTATATTGGTTAGATCAGCAACATCAGACAGTAACTGTTATCTAGATAAGGTGGTCAGAGTTATAAAAAACAACACCCTAACCGAACTCTATCCCCTGAAACAGGATGGTCAATCGCGGAGGAATAACACTAAACAAAACAACTTAAGATCTGAAGGCGAAGTTATACTGCTGACTATAGTTAAGTATGAATAAAATGTTTTCCTCTCAAAAAACTAGCATATGGAATGATGCAACCCTCTAACAAAGGGAATGAAGAGGTTGGCAAGATTAACTGCAAAAATGCACACCTCATCTAGTCGCACAGACTTCCGCCCTTGGCAGTAACGTTTTAAAAGTACGGAGCTAACTTATAGGAGACTACTTATAAAAAGCCTTGTGTTCACGATTCAAAGTTGGTAAAATCATTACTAATTCAGTTTCATTTACAGACAACTAACTGAAAAGGAAACTTCTGTCTCGGCAACCGGGAAGTAATAGCTACAATCCTGCAACACTCATGATAATCTTTTTGACGATCAAATCCATTCAACCTGTCTCTGTTGTCCGATAGTTCCGTGTTCTTCTGGATGTGCCAACAATGCAAACGATATAAATGCAGGGAATGTTGTTTCTTGAAACCGCTTCCAAACCTACATGTTGATGTGTTTATTGTAAACCACACAATAGGCTTTATTAGCTAGAATCCGTGCCGTTGACATATGCTACATCTTCGGAGATCACATAAAGAGTCCAAATGTGGAGGACCAGTGTGATCTACAGTTTGTTTATCTGGAAACTTTACTGTTACTTCTCGTGAGTTCGCTGGCTTAGTTATGGAATCAAGTTCTAAGCTAGAACAGGATCTTTAGAACTGGACATAGTGCTCCTGTGTCGCCCGATAAATAACTACTGTAAGGACAAAGAAATGGAACACGGGACTATCGCTTTGACACATCTGCCTACGCTCCCACTAAAGAAAAAGGTGAATTTTGCAGAAAGCTTCCTTGCACTCTTCAAAAGCCTAAACACTTGGACTTAGTAACTGTGGCAATTGATTTTGATGACAAACTAGTTCCGTATATTAATTCAAATGAACTATCTTTAGTGTTTTTCACAGTAATCCTATGTATCTCCCATAGTATTTCCTATTACGCAGTATGTGTAAAATTTGACATATAAATGATTGCATCGTGGGAATTGTAATGATTCTCGTTCCCTTGTATAACCAGTAGGATCGAGGAATTGCAGTGGTTCCCGATTGTCAAGTACAAGCAGTTAGACTGCAAACTCAATAGGGTTGATACGTACATAAGAGTGACTGCTCTTCAAATATAACAGTTGATTATGCAGTTACGGTACTGCCAACGGAGCCAACTTTTCTAGTTAACATTGGGGACTTCTGGGATATAACAGTAAACGGTGAACCGAACCCACGAAATTATTCTTTCTCTTTCTATTAATTTAGCTGAGTATTATGAATAACCTTCGTATAATAAATGCTACTAAGATCTTGTCAACGGAATCCAATGTAAAGCCTCCTAGTGGTGCTGCCGGGTGGTAGGGGCAACCGTGCTAGTTAACTTGGTCGATCGGACTTATCCACGACTCGGTTGTAAACTGGATTAACTGGGTTCCGTTCTCAGGGCTCTCTAGAAATCTGGTAGGCTACTCGATGTGTATGCTTATGAATATGAATCGCCTGAGTTGGTATATGCAAAATATACGCGCGTGAGTTAGCACAAAGAACGTACGCTGAGAAATTTCTGTCCTACGTCCAATGAGATCAGTGGACTGATCTTTCACGTCAAAGACAACAAAAAATATATGATAACAAACCCTAAAAGTGTTTATGTATAGGTGTATTTTGAGATGAAGATTTGCAGCTCAGATGTGCTTCTGAAGATCATCAAGCAAAAGTGAACTGTTCGAATTTCACCACATATGATTCGCAGCTTTTCCTGTCGACCTCGATCTTTATTCGTTATTGTTGACCTTTGAACTGATTCTTGAGCCTATATTTGTTCATGACTTTTCCGATTGGTTGATAGATTGGATCAGCTTTGATGTATTTTTTTTCGTTGGTGATTAACATGAGTGCAAAGCCTCTGATTTTAATATTTCCTTTATCCAAGATCTAAACATTTTTCCAGTCGAATGTGTGTCCATAGTATCTACAAAATAAACTATTTCAATTGCGTAAAGCACTGCGCTGGACAAAGTGAACACCCCCTTCGTCGTCGTCTGCATGGACATCAATTAGCGGTCAAACGCCATGATGTTTTCGCTTATATCAATGCATGTAGACAAATAGATTCAGTCAACGTTCCACATAAGTCCTTAATACAATAAATATATAAATGAACGGACAACTGAAAACATCTCACATACATTATACAGTAGTAGTGATAATGAAAAGACAAAGTCTATCTATCAAAATACATTATATTGTATGCAATAAATTTCAGCCAGTTTAATCACATACTTCAGGACAATAAATTAAGCAAAACAATTTACAGTAGTATTGTTATGACTCTTTCTACTTGTATCAGAAATTGATCTTTCTTTTTAACAAAATAATCTTAATAGATTAAAATGCCCTATGAAAAGTGGTTTTGTTTGTTCATTTATGAATGGGTTCCTAACAGCTGTTCTCTTTGGTAACTATTGAGAATTTTAATCCGAGGAATTGCTTAATCACATAAGTACAAGTATTCATCTATCCATAACACACATCTATATGTTATTCGTTATGGGGGATTTGTGGATATTGTTAAATTTTATAGTTTACACTACGGAATGATCATAGCTAGTAAACCAGTTGACATTAGATAGCTATTTAGTTCCCGTGTGGCATTCCACAGTAATGCTTCCTAGTTTTCAATAGTCAATTCATAATGTTAACCTTAAAATTCAACAATCTCTACCAAATCCTTTGTAATAAATAATAATTATATGACTACTAGTGACTAGATTCGAGAATCCCCGAGGTTCTAATATTAAGCTCTCATCAATAGAGTTTAAACAAATCGAGTGAACGGCAGTCACTCGATAAAAGCATCGGGAGACGTTTGGACAATATCACAAATTTATCATAGACACGTAAAAATTGTACGCCGACCTATTAATTTGCAAACCAAATATTTCCCGAAGATATGAAGGTCATGAATTCGACTTATGGTGGGGTCATGAATGAGTATATTTTTAAGGAGTCTCATACTGGGAAAAATTCATGATGTAGGGTTTTCGATGTCCACTATCACTAAGAAGTCCCATAATAGGACGAAATGGTCATCCAGTGCTTTCAAGTTTCTAATGGTTATATACCTAAGATGTGTTCGTGGTTTGAACTGTGAAAATTCTACAATTTCAACAAATCCCTTACACAAATTATAAACACTATGAAAATCCAATCCCATTGTCTTCCCATCAAAAATCGGTACATTAAGTGGGAAGTATAAAGTTTAAATCAACATATATCCTAGAATATCTTCATCAGAACAATACAAACAATATTGTTCCCCCTCCTCTCTGATATGATTTTCGTTAACCCAGACTTAAGGTTAAATGGATCAGTGTAACATCCAATAAGTTCATTATCTTCGCTTAGTTTTTACATAAACCACTAAAAATTAGTTGACATTAAGGTTTATCTTGTATTGGTTGTTTGAATCTTTCCATTGGAGCATAGGACTGCAATTGATCAATCTCTTATTAGCCATTGTAGTTAATAGTCAGCAATACAGTCCATAATCCTTAATTACAGAAAAGTGTGTCTCAATTTATGATTAACCACCATATATGAGAAATGTGGTTCATTGACTAAACATCGACCTAAAAAAACTTGAGTTTTACACCTGTTCTCATTCACTATTTAGATGTTAAACTTAAATTATACCCATTGAAATTTAAGGATTCATTATCTAGTCATTAATATTAAGGTTATTTTACTCATATTTTTACATCTCCGCATCGAGGTTATATTAAGTCGTATCACCATAATTTCAATGGTTTTTTAATATATTTAACAAATCAGTTGTCTTATGTTACTTAGTCAGTCAGTTACAACGTAGGACCAGGCACATACATGCATCGGTTCAATTTACAACACCTCATTAGCACAGCAAGAACACTAAATTCATAGAAGTAGTTAACTCAGTGGTGGTAATATATAAAAGAAAGATTGTATATAAGGACATAGTAAAGGAAGAAAGAATTAGTTCGTAGAAAGAAAGATATGAAATAATTTTAATCTCATAGTTCAAGGGAAAACAGAGAGTGTATACACCTACGCCATTGTAATCGATTCTGAACCATGTCACCAATCATTGGTTACGATAGTCACATGGACCCCGACCAAGTAGTCTGCATCTACCAACGTGGTTCAGACCAGTAGTGATTATGAATTGATGCAACGTTTTGGTTTGGCCACCCCGAACTTTCTTCCATCTGTCTACAACACTAGCCAGCATTGTGCACTGTGGTAACCAGTGGTTGCGCATACGTAATACGTGGCCCAGCCATCTCAGTCGATGAAGGTGCACAACGTCATCAACTGATTTACCTTCATTCCCTAATATCCTGCATCTGGCCTCACTACTACTTACCCGGTGATTCCAGCAGATGCGAGCAATATTCCTAAGGCATCTGTGGTCAAATACTTGTAGCTTACGAGTATCTTCTACTCTTAAAGGTCATGTTTTGCAGCCGTATAGTAGAACGGAACGAACTGCCGCACAGAATTCTATGTTAATTAGAATTCTGCATGTATAATCATATTTACTTAATAGATGGTTTTGTCGAAGGTGGGAAGCTATTTCGAAAACACTAATATGACACAATACCCGAAAACTGTTATTCTTTCTCTATCGTCAATCATTTCAGGCGTATAAATGACAAAGACTATTTTGCAAACTAAACATTAATTGATAGAAAAATAAGTAAATGTATCAATTATATCAAAGGGATTTAGTCAAACAAAGAATAAAAAGATAGATGTTCTTAATTGATATCATTGTTTTGGAAGTAAAATACTTTCTAAAATCTTGACGAGAATTAACCAACAAAAGTTGTGCTAGATCTGACACGCCGAAAAACTTGAAATCTTAGGGTCTGTATACCAAAGGAACCGATGGTTAGAGACCTTGAATGACATGACTCACAATCGTTTACAATGGCGCAGGTGCATCTACTCTTTATCCTCTCCCAAATTCTAATCCTCTGAATTCTCCTTGTCTCTTTTTTTTTCTCTTTCCAAATTTATTTCACTGGATTATACCCCATGAATAACATCTTCAAACCCTAATCTTTCTGATTACTGTTTATACCCTTACTACCTCTACCACTATTAGATTTGAATCGACAACTGCATCTCAATGCTAATGTGGTATGGCAACTCGAACTGATGTACATACGTACGAAGTTCTACGTTGTTACTGACTGACTGACTGAATAAGTTTCCAGAATTTCCCTCCTTATTTTATTATGAAATAGGTTAGTAAATTATTGAATTATAGAGAGAACTTATGCTGTTAAGTTTTTGGATTGTTATTTCGTGCTTTTTGTTTGTTTTTTTTTCTGGGATCACGTAAGTATCATTTCCGCTTTCTCTTTCGATAGAAATAATATTAATACTACAACTTATGAATCGAACCCAATAGTCAAGGTGACTGAAATTATACCTGATAGAATAAATAGAAAAAAGTAATAAAGATTATTTAGTAATTTATCATCATTCGACTTTTGAGTACAGAAATCCGTTGAATCTACATGTACACATATACACATATACATATCATGCTAATTAGAATTTCAGTCTATAATATCTAATACAAGTCGATGAAAATGATCGTTTTCTTTAACGATCCTATCAATTAATGCTTCTTTTCAAGATCAGCCAGTAATTTTTTCCTTTTTTTGAGTGATTCCTAAAGGAAATATAAAAAAAAGTAGAAGTTTCACATCAC